GATTTAAACCTAATTGCTAAAACTAGTGCAAAAATAAGTATATTAGTTTATTTTTGTATTTTATTTTTTTACAATTTTTAATTACTATTTTTCACTTTTGTAAATTTTAACTTACATTGTAAAACATGAAAACATAAAGTTCTGAAATCTTTAGATTGACAAAAAAGATGAAATTCAAATATAAAATTATGCAGTAATAATTATGATTGAAGTTTGAATTAAATTACTACTGTATAAGAATGAGGCAAAGAAAATTTTATAAATGTATAAAATTATATATTATATTTTAGTAACAAATTTTTTAATAAATAAAATATGCATTTTTGATTTTAAAATATAATAAAATAAAAATTAGTTTAATTGTATTATACTAAATTAGAAACATATATAGTATTCTATAAACTAAAAAAATTTTTACTAAAATATAATAATTATATATATAGTTGGTACAATAAAAAAAGTTTTTTATTTGTAACACTTCTCTTTCTAAATTATATTATTAAGATTCAGCTTATAGTTAATAACAGTTTTAAATTATATGTCATATTTTCACAATGCTATACTATAGCAATTTTGGCAAGAAATTTTTAAATTATTTTAATAAAATATATTTTTAAAGACTAAGGATAATACAAGATGCATATGAATAAAAAAATAAACTGTATAGTTTTTATGTATAAGTTTGCTATACTGTATAAAAAAAAATAAAAATAGGCATGTTGCAATGTAAAAGCAAGTTTAATGTATAAAGTAATAATAGTATAAATGTGGCAATGTAAAAATAAATTTACTACTGTTAGAAGAATTTTGGGTTCACAGTATACAGAATTAAGAAAAATGTAACAGATTGTTGTTTGAAAATACCAAACATTACTAAATGTTATATTATAAAAGAGGCAGAATAATTTTACAAAGTTAAGATATAAGTGCAAAGTCTTGGTTTATTATTATTATAGTTTTTATTATTATTACTACTAATATTTACTATTCTTCTTTTTAGCTAACTCTCTTTTTTTAATAAAAAAAAAAGCACTTATATACAAAAATGGTGTCCCACAAAATAAAACAGCATAGAGGTCCAAAATTAAACAGTTTCTTATTAACTTAACAGTTTTAGATCTATCAATATGATTGGGACTTGAATGATGAATAACTGTAGAAGTTGCAATCTATCAACATACTAAAGAGAATAATATTTTTTTAATAATATTTCTAAAGAAAATAATAATATTTTAAAAGTATGATATAATTTTTATCAGTAGATAAGATACTTAAAATTACATAACCTTGGTATTCGAATATGAAACTTTAATTTGCAAATGCTCAGTTTGATGACATTTGTACTTTTATTCTCAGTTACAAGAAGATATAGATATACTAAGTCAGTTATATAATTTCTATCAGATCTTCAAAGTAATCTACAATTTTTTCAAAATCTTTGAACTGTGACTTCAATTAACTTAATACAAAAAGAGTATTATTTGGTTTATGATAAAGTTCTAAAAATATACAGAATAAAATTTTTTTAAAAAAATATAACTAATTATATAACATGTTTAGAAAATCTAATACAAAATATTAAAGCAACCCAAGCAGAATATGATTGACTTATTTTGTTAATTTCAGAATTTAATAATAATCAATTAGTAAGCAAAAGTCTAAGATTTATTAAAGATCATTTAGAATTTTTTTGGAAACTAATTTGTAAACTTAAATTAGTATTTAATAGTCAATAGTCAAAAATTCACTTATTATTTGCAAAGACTACATAACTAACAAAGAAAGATATCAATAAATGTTTAGTTGCTTTAAATCAGAAATTAACTGATTGAATAAAATAATTAACAAAACATTTCTATATAAAATGAGAAAAAACTAAATGAACTCATTTTAATATTTATAAAAATAGTAAAAAATAAAATGCATGTAAGAAAAGAAACTAATTAAACAATAACAAAAGCAGTTTCAAAACTAAATAATGATATAGAAATTAAAAAGATTAACCAAGATATATAATCAGTATCATTATCTGAAACTAATTTATCTTTAGAATTATTATATAATAAAAGCATTCAACACATATGCTCACAGAAATTGAAGAGCAAATTTTTACAAAACTTGAGAAATATAAAAACTCTACTTTATTATTCTTAGAAGTTGTTAAGAATTTAGTTGAAAAGTTGAAAATTCATACTGATTATTAGGATCTAAAAAGAATTTGAAATCAATAATATAATTAGTATAAAAAAACAAAAATCAAACATAAACCTTAATTCTAAGCTTGTAACTCTAACTTAGATAATTATTGTATTAAATAAATTAATATTAATAATAAATTATTAATTTTATTAAAAAAAACAATACTTTTTTTTTGAATAAACTAAATTATAAAAAAAAAATCAAATTAATATAATCTATATATCTTAAAACAGTTTTTCCTAATTTTTTTTGTTATGCTCATAATGTACTGGCTTTTTACAAATGCATTTTAATAAAAACTTACACTTCAATACATCTAATAATATATGTTTTGTATCAGATACTTGCAAACTGAAAAAGAATCAAGCAAAAAAAATAAATTAATTGCACATTTTTGAAGCTATATTACTTAATAAGAAAAAATATATTTTGCATATTTTTTATATATTCTAATTCATAAAAACCTTAACAAAAAATTGTTTTAAAAAACATTTTATATTAAAACTAAGGTTTTAAGTAAATTGTTTTAAATGTAAATTTGTTAATCTGTATAATTTATGAAAATCATATAATAAATTGACTAGTGTAACATATCATATGCCTGATACTATATGTACTATACATACTGTATATGAAAAAATTAAGTTATCATATAAATAGCACATTACTAACAATCAATATTATTGATATAAGTTTATATAATTAGTATATGTGAATAAAGGATATAAGTGTAATATTATAAATAGAATATATAGCATGCCTTATGTAAACAAAAGTATTAATAAAGGCTTTGAGGCCTATACAAACAGTAGTTCACACTTGTAATGAAGTTTGACCTTAATAATTCTCTGCCTTTACTACATTGTAAAACCTATAATTATAAACACATCACTTATTAAATCTAACTGCCTCTTATTGACTAAGCTATTTGTAGTATTGTTTGGCAAATTGGTGAGTCTGTCACTAATTTCTTTTAATCCTCATGTAACTTACAGTGGCTTAGTCAAAATAGGTGTATTAGATCTGGCTAGGTGGTTTATTTATAAGTAAGTATTAATTTCTTCTAAATCCTTCTTTTAACCTACTATTTTATTAACCCTTGCCTTCTCTTGTCCTCTCTTTATTTTCTTATTTTGGGGTTATGAAATGTCAAATTGGGGTTTGAGTTCTTCTCTTGAACTAATGACTTAGTTATGTAACTTATAGCAAATAATCAAATTGCAGTTTTGTGATTTACAAAGAGGCAAATAATATGAATAATGTAGAGTTTAATGATAGTTTATTAGTTTATATTGGATTATAGTTTACTTTTAATATGGGTCAGAAACATATTGAAATAATGTATTAGCTTGGAAGTACCTTTCATTGCTTTTTCTCTGGGCAGAAAACCCTTTATTTATAATAAAACTTTATTTATATTTGAAGATAATTTCCTCTATATTATCTATTTATACTATATTATCCTTAAAACTCTTTTCTCTATTATAATAATGAAAAACTGAATGTCCTATATACTGTTGATCTACTTGAAGTAATAAAAATAATAAATGTAACAAAAGTAATAAAAGTAAGAAAAATAAGATTTCTCTTACTTATCATATAACCAATTACTCAGATAGGTGATGGGTTCTACATGTGACAATCAATCACAGGTAACTGTGATAACAGTAGGATGAATTTTGGAGTTACATAACTAGTGTTATGGCCTAAACTGAAACTTTTAGTTAGGTAAAACTTCTGAAACTTCTAAAACCAGTTTTGTCCAAGGTGCCAAGTTCAAAACTGAGCAAAATGTCTGAAACTGGTAAAATGTCTGAAACTGAATGAAATGTCTGAAACTGGACTAAACTTTTGAAAATAGACAAAACTAGATAAAACTGAGCAAAACATCCAAAACTGAATGAAATGTCCAAAACTGGGCAAAATGCCCAAAACTGGGTAAAACATCCAAAACTGGATGAAATATCCAAAACTGGGCAAAATGTCCAAAACTGAGTGAAACTTGATCTTATCTCTATTAAAATTAATATATAACATAACTTAAACTTTGATATGATGTTTTTTAAAAGTCATGTGACCTCTGCATTTAAATTTGACTAATGGAATTTCTAAATGGCATGTAACTGGTACATATAAAATTGACCAATGAGCAAAACTTACATTTTTGAGACTCCTGTACTTACTTTTTTGATATCAAAACATATGACTATTATGTGTTATATTTAATACTGTTTAATGTATAACTATGTATACGTATAACTTTAGATATCAAAGAATAAAATACATATCTGCTTATAACACAGGTTTCATCCTGTCATAAAATAATTATGTAATTATGTAATAATGAAAATAAACAAATAAATAGTTATTTTATTTGTATATATAATTTAATAAAGATTAAACAAAAGACACAAAAATAAGAGTGATTAGAGTAGAATAAAATTTTAACTTTGAAATTATGTGTTTAAATGTTTGAATATTAAATAATTTACAATAATGACAATTCAGTTTCAGTTCCTTTCGGACATGTAGCTGAATGGTATATTTTACAACATCCACTTTTAAAAAATACTTGCTTAAAATCTCAAAGCCATGTAAAAACAAATAAATTAATATATGAAGAGTTAATTAAGTTTAATTATATAGATGATGCAGCTGATTTTACAGAATGGACAACATGTGGTAAACAAAAATTAACAAACCATATTGATGATATTTTAAAGCTTATAGTTAAAAGTCAAGAATACGTTGAACAAATTCAAGCTGAATTCAAAAAAAACAAACTATGTTGGTCATGAATTATGTATTATGCTAGTGATGGAAAAACTTGTCAACATCAATATGGTGGTATTGGAGAATATATATCAAGCTGTTCAAATTACAATTTATCTAATAATCTAAAAAATGGAAATGATATGCATTATTGTTCTGTTCGAGTTTATTCTTTTTTGCGATTATCATATCTTAACTCAAGTCATCAACTTTGAATTAAAATTGAGAGAACACATTATCCTTCTAATATATTAATTACCAATACTCCACAAGTTATAAGAATTAATTTGATACATCAAATTAGAAATCAAATTACTATTAGTTGTCATGCAGATTATCAAATACTAAAGACTATTAAAGGAAAATTACTATTTTCATTAAATGGTGCTAATAAGGAAGAACTAAATAAAGCATTGCTAAATAGTAGAGAGATTTGTAATTCTAAAAAATTAGAAAGGTTTGTCATTTATGAGAATAGAAGACTAAAAGATTATACAGACCTATGGACAATTCTGCATTATTTAGTTAAAAAAATTTTAAAACCTAAAGGTTATATCTTATTTTATCAACAACCAAATTTATCTAAACCTGAAAATTCTGCAGAACATTACTATCAGTTGATAGTATTTGATGAGTTTTGGTTATGTAATGACTGAGACTTCAGACAGTTTTGTTTTGGTATTGATAAAAAATATGATCTTAATATTGACCGTGCTCCAGTTTTAACTATAGTAATCAAGAACAATACAAAATATAGAACTTCATTAGCATTTGGTAAGCTTATTAAGTATATATGGTATAATTAAATTATTATTATATGTCAGATTTAAAAAACTAAATAAAAAAAAATAATAATAAAAAAATAAAATAAAATACATATTAGAATAAAATTTATTACTATTTACTAATCTAATAATAATTAGGATTAAGTAATAAAAAAAACAATTGGTCAATACAGTTAGCAGTCAATGACGTTAAACAGAATATTCCTTGTAATGATTCTACATATGCACATCCATAGTATTATGAAGATCTTCCAAATCATAAAGAGTTCAGAAGAATTCATAACTGTAGCATTAATCAAGTATGGAATCTATATGTAATAATTGATAAACACTAACTTACTAAACTTGGAATAGAGGGACTTGTATGTAGAACTATACTTTGCTAGTTTTACATTATGCAAACATTCTTTAATAATTTAAAAGAGTGGAATATTCCATATTCATTAAGGTTAGTTTTTATATGCAGTACTATTAAGTATATATTTACAACTACATAATAAATTAACATTAATTATTTAAAATATTTTAGCTATATAATTGCATTGGAATTTAAAATAATGGGTCAATATTGCACTGAAGAAAAAGTATTTGAAATGGCAAATTATTATAAAAATTTTCTTATTGCTCTTCCACTTACTCAAGATCAGAAAATCTCATTGTCCAAAGATTTAGATAATAATTGAATATGCGATGAATGGAGATTACAATTTATTAATGCAAGCTGCCTTCCAATTAATTAAAAAAATTTAATGACTACTAACAATCATATGATTGAATCTCGATTATCTGGAAAATGAACTGTTGTTATATTTATTAAATGATTATATGGACTAAAATCAATATATGAGAATTTAAACAAACAAGGAACAGGTCAAATAACTTATGAAGCAGGCTTTGTTACACTTTTTAATGCCCAATTGATCAAACAAGTAAGTTAAATAAGCCTATGTAGTACTATAATGCACATAAAATATATTAATTTAATATATTAAAATAAAACCATTATAGCAAAATGAATTATCCAAAATTATCTCAGATATGAATCGATGCTTAAATCAAGGAAGTTTATATTTTCTTTTAGGGTTGGTTGAATAATTGAATAATCCTGACTATGATTATATTAAAAAACAGCATGAATTAGAAACTATTAGCTCATATTGTAATGAGAAATTAATAGAATTAAAGAAGAAAAATATTACTTATCTTCAACCAATGATAGAGCTACTATCTAATAACTGTAGAGTTGTACAAAGAGATGGATTCTATACAACAAATATTGTTACAGGGAAATGTTCACAATGTTTGGATTACATTTGGAATAGGCCATTTTATGATGTCTGCAAACATTGTCATGCTGCAAGAATTTTCTCAACAGCATATATAAACCCTGCAAATGTAGTACACAAGATAAAAAATAAGCTAGTTAGCTTTTTTAAAAGCAAAAAACAAGTTATACCTTCAGATCAAAAAAATAACATAATTTATCTTGGGTCTACAGAGGAAACATATTAAGAAATAGTTCGCCTTTATAATATTAATAGTATTTGTATTACTAACATATATATTTTTTATTATTGTATTAGTAAAAATTTATCTAATTTAAATATTATAGGTGTACAAATATTTTATCCTTCAAAAAAATACTCAAACATTTGCATTAATCCTTTTTGACCATTGGAATTAAACAAAAAGCAATTAGTAAACAATGGATCTCCTCAGAAACCATCAGAAAAAACACATAAGTCGAGTCATATTCTATGTTCAATTCAACCACAAGATATCAATTATGAAACACCACCACTTTCAATTCAAAAAAGAAAAACAACGAGTATAAGAAAGGCAAAACAAAAGATTAAAGTAATTCAAATAATTATTTATTTTAAGTTATGCAAAATTAATTAATTGGTTTTAATAACCTGGCCAAGTCAATTTCGAATACTTGCAAAAAAAAATTTTTTAAA